CAGATTTATCTTCTTGTGTAATCTACAGAACTGTAGTCCAGATTAAAAAGAAGACAATTACAAAATAAGGTCTGAAATGATCCCTGTAAAACCAGCAGCCTAAATTGTTTCTAGACAAACCCTGGTTGTCTTTTTCAACCACTCTTACACAACTGCATCTATATGTATGATTTGTTTTTTGCTTAAAGACTCCTATTGTCCCTATTGTCCTTTTTTCCAACAGTACTTTAATGGTATATGCCAACCCAGTCTCACGGCAATTTGTGAAATAGTCACAAAACTTAATCTTTTGTTTCGTGTCCTGGGACACGATTTTCCCGACTTTGTCGTGTTTCCCAGCATGAAATTCACACCAATACATTTCAACTGGAACTATGTTTTGTGTTGGGGACACGTTTTTTTCCCCACTAGACATGTGATGGTTTTGTCATTCCTTTCTTCCGACAGTCAGGCATTAACCAGTTTTCCTGTTATGGCCCGTCCACACTAATAACTATAGAGATCACTATACAGATGTGTGCGCCCACACTGACCAACGTTAACATTCTGTACACATCGGTGCTGCTATAAACTCTGTATTCATTCAAATAGAAAAGACAAGATATATATCCAGACAGAGAGAAATTGATCTGCGATCGCTCTGAAAGTGATCCCAACGATATCACTCATGGCTATTATCGTTTCTTTGTGGTAAAATATAAATGCTTTTGCTGTGTTTGGGCTACATGCTCGTCGTTACCTTCATTTCTCTGTAAACGAACACAACTCTGAAAAGAAGGACACATGCAGGAAATTGGTGACCGGAACATGTACTGTGATTGCCACAATGGATAATCTGACTAGTGTAACTGAGAGGCCAGCGGTGGGGAATGTATCTGTAGCTTTGTGAAGCTTTTAGCTAACTTGTCGAGGCTGGCTACATTAGCTAGTAGCCTAGCCTAGCCTAGCCTAGCTGCTGCTTCTTCTTCTATTGATTTGGTAGTTGGTTCAGGTGTATTACCGCCACCTACTGCACACACAAAAACATTACAAACTGTGTCGGGCGGATCTCTTCCGGGTCTACGGTGAGCCTGCACGCCGATGCTAACAGGGTTGCCTTAGCAACGAGCTTTCACCTATATCAATTTCATTTGTAAAGTCAGTCCAAATAAAAGTGTTCCTCATCAATTTAAACCCCTAGATGCACTTAAAGTTTTATATTTCACCCTCCATTTAGGAGAAACAGCTATTTTGAAGAAAGAACTACAACTTCCAGTAGCGTTACAATACAACATCATTGGACACGCCATGAAATATGTGTTTACAGAATGTTAACGTTGGTCAGTGTGGGCTAACATATCTGTGTAGTGATCTCTATAGGTATTAGTGTGGACGGGCCATAACAGTAAAATTGGTTAATGACTGACAGGAAATTGAGGCTTACGAACAGGAGGGGTGACGTGGCAGGTGAAGGTGGCAGAATGGAGGTGGACAGCTGCAGTGACCAGATGGAGGTGAACCAGGAGACCGAAGACGGAAGCCAGCGGCATAACAGCGAGGAAGATGAGGAAAGGACCAAGCACACTGAGGTGGTGGAGTGGGTTCAGTGGATGTTTGTTTGTGGTTTATATGGGTTTCAGAGATAAGAAGATGATTGCAGACCACGCCCTGCCGCAGGTGAAGACAATCAGGTAATCTGCTGAGTCACTGTAACTGTCCACATCACACACACACCTGCCAGGATAGAGGGAGAACAAAAGCAGCCACTAGGTGGAGCCAGAGGGGGATGGTACAACACTGACCGAGATATTTCAGAATTGAGCCTGAGAAGAAATCTCCTCTTGCATCCTTCACTGTCCTTTGATAGAGTCGCCATGACTCCTTCAGCATCAGAGAAGAGACCCTCAGTTTGTCCTTCCATTTCCTCTCAGCTCTGCGACGCTCGAGTGGGTTCATTCAACCAGCTTTAGGTTTCCTGGTTCTTAGTGGAGCTACAGTATCCATCACAGTTTGACAGGTGGAGTAGAACCATGAGCAGATCTCAGCTGTCTTGATCATAATAGGAGCATGTGAAGTGTTGTGATTAAGAGAAAACAAGAACTGACCAACAGTGCAGGGGTTAACTACTTGGCAGCGTGTTCAAATAACACAGGGCTATGATCTGGGAAAACTGCATCACAGATCTCCAGGTTTAAAACAGAAAGACCATATGTTAAAACCAGATCAAGTGTGTGTCCGCGTTCCTGTGTGGGACCTGACACAGACTGCATAAGATTAAAAGAGTCAATAAGATCTAAAAAGTATTTCACTATTGTCAGGACAACAGACGTGAATATTAAAATCCCCCACAATAAAACCAAGGTCATATTTCGGCATCATTTTTGGCCAGAAAGACGAACAAGTCGTTTACAAAATCTTTGCTGTATTTCGGAGGTCAATAGACCCGAGCACCCAGCACCGGGTGGGTGCAACCAAGCTGACATTGACACAATTCAAAGCTGCTCAGTACTGCCACAGAGAGCCACTTACGGTCAAAATTACTTTGAAAAATAGTTGCGATACCTCCTCCTCGACCTGAGCTCAGAGGGGAGTTAAATAGCAGCAATCCAAGGGTAGAAGGTCGGTAAAAGCACTGGACTCACCGGGACCGACCCAAGTCTCGATCACAGGGAAAAAATACAAGTCCTTAGAAGTGAAATAGTCCTTGAGGATAAAAGTGTTGTTGACCAAGGACCTGGCATTTTTGTGCCCAAACCTAACGGGGTGGTTCCCCGTGGCGTTGAAGGTCCTGGAAGCCCGAGATAGCCACTGCGGGCTGCCATGGTTGATGCCGCGCTTGTGGAGTTAAAATGAATACAAACATCACAAAGACACGCAGCGTTGGCGGTGACAGACAGCAGGCCACACACAGTGGTGCCATCTTTCCCCCACAAAGACAGGTAAGCGTGAGAAAATGAGAGACAGCCAGTCTCTAACCGAGTAAGGAGAGGGAGGCAGTCTGTGTGCACAAGAGAAATGCTATGTGACCCTATCTCTGTTTCAGAAAGAACACTACATCACTGTTCATTCTTCACATTGGCAGAAAAAAAATGAAATTCACGGTTACAAAACTTGTCAGGATTATAAATCTTCTGGCCGAGCTTTGCAAACACCTTCCTCTTTTGCTAAGTGTTGCCTAGCAACACAAACAGCAGAAATTCAGAGGCACTGAAACAATATTTTTGATGTCTAATATAAGAAAATTTTGGGAGAAAAAAGCAACATGTGTAAATTAGTGACTGTTTTTGGAATGGATTGAATGGCAGCAAACCACTACTTGTTGTGTTCAGTGATCCTTTGTCTCCAATCCTTTTGTCTCTCCTCCTTACCATCAACCCAATTGGACAAGCAGATGGCCACCCTCCCCGAACCAGAGATTTCTTACTCTTAAAAGAATGTTTAATTCCACTGTCTCCAAAGAGCTTGCTCAAAGGAAATTTTTAGATTTGTTAGGTTTCTCTCTATAATGTTATATTGTAAGGTCCTGACTTTACCAAATTAAATGCCTTAAATCGACCTGTGTCGTTAAGTGATCTGCTATGCAGGTTGAACTAAACTGAATTGATTTAATTGATCCGAAGCACTTACATCATCCATTGCAATCAGTGCAAAGATTGCAGCCTACATCTTAATTGCTAATATCCCTTACATTGTCTCACCAAAAGCCAACAGAAAAGCTTCAGTGGTACTTGAAAAAGATATTTCACACCAAATGAGTGTTGGTGTACACTGACTAACACATCCCTTCTTTACATTCCAGCTGTGTTGAAATCTGAGGACAGTGTAGGCCGTAACATTTCCATACTCATCAAACCAAGTGACCTGTGGATGGAGGAACTGGAGATTGCTCTTTGACTCTCTTGAAAGAAAAAAAAAACTCCAAATGATAGAAGACAATGGGACCTGCTTTCTTGAATACAAAAATGTTTAACTGATGCACGAGTCAAAAAGGTTTTATAGCATCCAGGTTTGCTTTTTTTATTGCATGGCTCAGCAAAAACACATATCAGTGTTTCCATCTCTGGCCACTTCCACACATTCCAACTTGACCCACAGAGTCATATTATGCATGTAACATTGAAGTCTACACTGTTATGCTGTGTTCACACCAGACGCGAGTAAAATCATTCAGGCGAATGATTAACATGTAAAGCCAATGTGAAGACGCGATTAGACGCGAGTAAACGTCCCGTGGTGCGACTCGCGCGAGTAGCACGGCGTGATTGACGCGAATTGAGCGAGTTTGACGTGTGTTTGACGCGATTTTAGACACGCGTCTGAAGAGCAAGTTGAAAAATCTGAACTTTTGTGATCTGTGCATGTTGGATAGCAAGGCTGTCAGACTGTCAAGACGGAGGTCGAGATACAAGGAGGGCTTGATGCTTGAAGGGTAATTTGTTGTTAAAATTTATTGTTTGTAGTTGTTATAATAACTAGTGGAAATGTGTTGCATTGCTGTTGATTTTTCTGATAAAGCTTAAGGTTCATGACAACTGATTTCATCTTCATCTTTTCCTTGCACACTCTTTTTCAGTGTTCTAATAGCAAGTAAGAATAATTAAAAAGGTGTACTCACCCATTTTTGTTACTTTAAGAGGGATGTGACCTTTATTCTTGGAGAAAATAATACACTTTTAGATCTCAGAGAATAGAAGCACTCCACTCTCCCCGTACTAAGGAAGCACACATATGACATGTGTTTGTAGAAGAATAATTACTGTCAAGAAAGTGTGGAACTCATGGTGTTCACACATGATGTTGAGCAGTTGAGATAAGCTTCAACCACAGTACTTCCACAGTACTACCACTCAGCTGGGCAGCTCTGGTACAGAATGGCGCCTGTGGTATAATACAATGCAAACTTTACTGCTCGGGAAGGTGTGAAGTTTTTTGTTTTTTTTTCCTTTGTGGCCTCTGGGATGAAAAGGTAAAGCTAAATAACACACACAGAAAGTGATTCAGACTGAACATCCATTTCTTACCTGTACTGCTCTGAATGGTCCTGACAGTGGTGGCGGAGGTGCGTGGAGGGGAGGATGGTAGTAGGAGCAGCGGTCTTCCTCCTTCTCCTTCCTCCTCCCCTGCACAGCCCTGGTCGATTGCCCTGACATAGCTGTGGCTTCGCATCCGGAAGCATCCAGGCATGGACAGGGTGTCCATGGTGTCCATACTATCCATGGCAGCCTCCATGGCCTGGGCCTGCATCTCACTGTAGACCTGCTCACACACTTGCTCAATCTGCCCATTCACCTCTACCTCACTCAGCTGGAGAAGAAGAGGACAGCAGAGGAGTAACAGGCAGGTTAAGAAGAGAGGACACACACAGGGAAGAATAAAGAGGGTGGACAATATGGAAATCCCCACATTATTGCTATGCAAATCATCAAAGTTTTTAAAAGGACACAGCTTTAGAGGCAGTTCACTAAGATATTACTTAAAGAATTTATGCTGGGAACTGCTTGATTCGTTGGTGGGACTACTACGAGCATGTATGGCAACACTTTGCTATAAGCCTGAAATACAACATTTTGCATCTCTTGAGGACCTTCAATGCAGGCAGGGCTGCAAAAGCAAACTCAAGACCTATCTTTTTAGTCAGGCTGTTGATTGCTTGGATAAATGTTATTTATTTACTGTTTACTACACTTATGACTATTCCCATATTTACATATTTTAGTCTTTTTATTGTGCTGTTTATTACTTTGTTATAATTTCTTTTTCTGTTATTTTTTTTTAAACTTCATTTCTGTATCTTTTAATAATATGTGTCTTATTTCTATTTAGTTTATCTTTTTTTCTTTCATTTTTATCTCATCTGGTGTTTCCTCATTACCCCTGTTATATAGGATAGCATTTCCTCAGTTCTTCAATTGATTGATTGATTGTTGGCCCCAATTGCAGCACCTAGTCTGTGTGGATAGATCTCAATCAGACTTGCACACCTGGACACTGCAGTTTTTTTCCATCCTTCTTTTCAAAACTGCTCCAGCTCTGTCAGGTTGGCTGAAATTGTGTGTGAACAGTGCTTTTCAAGTCCATCCATCCATCCATCCATCCATCCATCCATCCATCCATTTTCTTCCACTTATCCGGGGTCGGGTTGCGACGGCAGCAGGTGGATCAGGTCATTCCAGACATCCCTCCCCCGGAAACACTTTCCAGAGCTCTTCCTCAGGGATTCCGAGTCATTTCTAGGCCAATATAATCCCTCCAGCAAGTTCTCGGTGTGCCCTGGGGTCTCCTCCCAGGTGCATGTGTTAGGAAAACTTCCAGAGGAAGCCTCCCTGGAGACATCCGAATCAGATGTCCGAAAGAAATTGGGGTCGGGTGCTATGTCCACTGGGTGGTAGGCAGGAGCGGACATCCTGGCGTACTGCCCCCTGGTGGCGTAGATTAGTTCTGGGGACGTGGAATGTCACCTCACTGGTGGGGAAGGAGCCTGAGCTGGTGTGGGAGGTGGAGTGTTACCAGCTAGATACAGCCGGGCTCACCTCCACACACAGCAAGGGCTACGGAACCAAACTCCTGGAGAGGGGTTAGACTCTGTTTTTTTTTTGGAGTTGCCCAGGGTGAGAGGTGCCGGGCAGGTGTGGGGATACTCACAAGCCCCCGGCTGAGCGCCACCTTGCTGGAGTTCTCCCCAGAGAACAAGAGGGTTGCCTCTCTGTGACTACATGTTGCAGAGAGGAAAACTGTCATTTGTGCTTCAATGCCCACGGGGGCAATGACGGTGAAACCTGAAGGGGCGTGATTGGGAGGAACAGTTTGCCCGATCTGAACCCGAGCAGTGTTTTGTTATTGGACTTCTTTGTTAGCCACAGATTGGCCATAGTGACCACCATCTTCGAATATAAGGTTGCTCATAAGTGCACTTGATACCAGAGCAACTTAGGTCAAAGTTTGATGATCGACTTTGTTGTCATATCGTCAGAGCTGCGGGCGTATGTTTTGGACACTCGGGTGAAGAGAGGAGCAGAACCGTCAACTGATCACCACCTGGTGGTGAGTTGGATCCAATGGCGGGAAGGCTGCCGGACAGACCTGGTAAACCCAAACCCATAGTGAGGGTGAACTGGGAATGTCTGGCAGAGGCCCCTGTCTGTGGGGTTTTCAATTCCCACCGCCGGAAGAGTTTCTCCTGCATCCTGGGGGAAGTCGGGAACATGGACTCAGTGTGGACCATGTTCAAAGCCTCCATTGCAGAAGCGGCCATTAAAGAGCTGTGGCCAGAAGGTCACTAGTGCCTGTCATGGCGGCAATCCCAAAACCCGCTGGTGGACACCAGTGGTGAGGGAAGCTGTGAGGCTGAAGAAGAAGACTTTTCAGGCCTGGTTGGCTCAGCAGTCTCCTGAAGCAGTAGACAGTTACCGGTTGGCCAAAACAGTTGCAGCTGCGGCAGTTGTGGAAGCTAAATCTCAGGCATGGCAGGAGTTCGGGGAGGCTATAGAGAAGGACTTTTGGTTGGCCTCGAAGTTCTGGCAAACCGTTCAACGCCTCAGAAAGGGGAGGCAGGGATTTGCCCAGGTTGTGTACAGTCGGGGAGGAGAATTTCTGTCCCAGACTGGGGACCTTGTCAGGCAGTGGAAGGAGCACTTCGAGGAACTCCTGAACCCAGTAAGCACGTCCTCTACTGAGGGGCAGGAGCCTGAAGACTCAGGGGGTTCTACATCCATATCCGTGACAGAGGTCACCTAGGTAGTTAAGACGCTCCTCGGTGGCAAGGCGCCAGGTGTGGGCAAGATTTGTCCCGAGATGCTATCTGTCATGGCTGACACGTCTCTTCAGTGTCACGTGGGCATCGGGTACAGTGCCTGTGGAGTGGCAGACCGGGGTGGTGGTTCCCATTTTCAAAAAGGGGGACCAGAGAGTGTGTTCCAACTACTGGAGTATCACACTTCTGAGCCGCCCCAGAAAAAGTTTACTCTAGGGTGCTGAAAAGAAGGCTCTGACCGATTGTCGAACCTCGGATTCAGGAGGAGTAATGCAGATTCCATCCTAGTTGTGGAACAGTTAACCAGCTCTTTACCCTTGTGGAACTGCTGAAGGGGCATGGAAGTTCGACCAGCCAGTCCACATGTGCTTTGCGGATCTGGAAAAGGCCTACGACCGTGTTCCCCGAGGGGCTCTGTGGGGGGTACTGAGGGAGTATGGGGAACCAGGCTCGCTGTTACGAGCCATTCGGTCCCTGTACAACCAAAGTGCCAGCTGTGTCTGCTCGGCAAAAAATCAGACACGTTTCCAGTGGGTGTTGTACTCTACCAAGGTTGCCCCTTGTCTCTTCATGGACAGGATCTCAAGGCGCAGCCAGGGTAAGGAGGGTGTCAGGTTTGGGGACCTCAGGATTGAGTCTCTGCTTTTTGCAGACAATATGGTACTGCTGGATTCATCAGACTGCGACCTTCAGAACGCACTGGAGTGATTTGCAGCCGAGTGTGAAGCAGCGGGGATGTGGATCAGTACCTCCAAGTCTGAGGCCATGGTTCTCTGCCAGAAACCGGTGGATTGCTCCCTCCGGGTGGGGGAGGAGTTGCTTCCCCAAGTGAGGGAGTTGAAGTATCTCGGGATCTTGTTCTTCTTCAGTGATGGGAAAATAGAATGCGAGGTGGACAGGTGTCTCAGTGCGGCATCGGCAGTGATGTGGGCGCTGTACCAGACCGTCGTGGTGAAGAAGCACAAGCTCTGGGTCGTGACCGAAAGACCGAGATCGCCGATACAAGCGGCTGAAATGAGCTTTCTCCGAAGGGTGGCTGGGCTCAGCCTTAGAGATAGGGTGAGAAGCCCAGACATCCAGAGGGAGCTGGAGTAGAGATGCTGCTCCTTCGCATCGAAAGAAGTCAGTTGAGGTGGTCTGCACATCTGATTGTGATTTTTAACTCCAGCCACAAATTCTTGATTGGATTCCAGTCTGGGTTCTGACTCGGTCACTCCAAAACATTCATCTTGTTATCTTTCAACCATTTCTATGTAGCTTTGGCTGTATGCTGCTGGTCATTGTCATGCTTTCAAACAAATCCTTTTCAAAGTCTCAGTTTTCTTGCATACTGCATCAGACTGTCCTCCACGATTTCTCTATATTCTACGCCAGGGGTCGCAACCTTAAACACTCAAAGAGCCATTTGGACCCATTTCCCATGGAAAAGAAAACACCAAGAGCAACAAAACCCCTTTGAAATCTAAAATTAAGATAACACTGCATATATCGTTTTTACCTTTGTGCTATGTAAAAAAAAAAAAACAACAACAAAAACAAAAACAAAAAAACTAGTGTGTTGCATTTATGAAATCCATGAACTGCTACAGAGAAAACTAAATTTTATTTCTGCAACAAAAACATTTTATCCCCCCCCCCAAAAAAGATACTGGGTTGAAGGTTAACTTTAAATAAAATACTAAATATCTATTTGAATTACCCTTGTATTCATGAAATAAAAAGCCGATCTTAAATTATCCACCTGCAGCAAAGTAAAAATCCCGTCTGGTTGTCCTGCTGACTGCAGCTGGGACTGCCAACAAGACTCCTGACTGCCTATGAGCGCTTTGGGATGGGAAGAGCTTAGGGCAGCACTGCTGCTCACTGAGGACAGTAGCTGCAGAACGATCTGTGTTTTCACATCAGAGTCTCCAAAACACCAGAAAAGTCTTTTATAACACCAGAAAGAGATTTGTTGCTAGTCGCTTTAGCCAAAAAAAAAAATAAAAAATCGCCAAGAGGATTTGGAAAGTTGCCAGATTTAGTGAGAACGTCATCAAAGTGGCAACACTGCACATGCCGGCGAGTGTCGCACATCGGCGGTTATGACGCATATTTTGAGCAAGTTCACAAAAATCTTCAAGTTTAGAATTGCATTTTAAAAACTAGCAAGCTAAAATAAAATACATTTAAATTCAAATACTCACTATTTATTTTCCAAAGCCACAAGGAGCCATAGCAGAGGTACGAAAGAGCCACATGTGGCTCCGGAGCTGCGGGTTGCCGACCCCTGCTCTACACTATCGCTTCATTCAATTTGCCCTTCTTTACCTTTGCAAGCCTTCCAGGGCCTGCTGCCAAACAGGATTTCCACATCATGACGGGATGATATGCAGTGTTTGGTGTCTGCCTAACATAGCATCTAGTCTGAAGGTCAAAAAAAAAATCAGACTAAAGAATCTTCTTTCAGTTGACTTCAGAGTCTTCCATATGCCTTCAGGTGGATTCCAGTCAAGATTAAATATGAGCTTTTTCTTTTTTTTTAACAGTGGCTATCTCTCTCACAAAATTTGGA